GCTTCTCTCACCAGTCCCCCCGCTCGCCCCCTCACTTCATCCGAGAAAGGGGTGCGCTTAATTCACGGTGGGTTGTTGGTGCGAATCTGCCTGATAGAGCACAAGCCTCCGCTGTGGCCACTGCTTGTGCTTCCAGTGCCCGCCGATCCAACACTTCTAATTGCCCTGCGTGGGGATGTGGATTATGTCTGACTGTGAAATGCTTCTGTACGAGCAGCCCCCATGTCGTGTTTGGTGTCATTCTGGCGGTACCTTCAGAGCCTGTGGGTTTTGCTGTGTCTGCAGAAAACACCTCCAAGAGATCCCATCCTCCAGCAGCAATGTTTCCACTAGCTTCACCTGGGACTCCAGCAAGACCTCGGACTTTCTCTCCGGCATGGGAGTGTCTGTCCTTAAGAAGGACAAGCTGGGCAATGAAAACACACCACAGGACACGCTGGTGGCATCGCCGTGTCCTCCTCAGAAACGGCAGAAGGTGAAGGAGTTTGTCATTATGCGCCGGCCTCGGCTGTTTCGAGAGTCAGAGTCAGGGACTGTTACCCCTGTCCAGGTTTCATTTGCCCTTCAGTAGAGGTGGAGGGTGGGCATCACACACCATTAGTACTTTATTCTTTGGGTTTTTTTGTTCTTTCCCAGCAGAATATCAATTCTAGATATAGTGGCTTTCAGCCTTGGGCCAATAAGTCCTGTTTTATGTAAGCCTTTAAAAAGAAGTAGTGTGTCTGGCTCCAGGACTGTGGCCCCCATAAACCATGGTTGGCTTCTGCCTAGCCCCCACCTGTGTGGGGCCTCTCTGTGCCCTGGGGGTTTGTGCTGCGTGTCCCTGTGTCTGGCTGCTCTTGCTGCTTGGGACTTGGGTGGCACCTTGGCCCAGCAGGGCCCTGAGCTGCACCTGTTGCTCTGCCCAAGGGACCTGTCCCAGGAGATGTTTCGCCATGTACCAAGCATGGCCAGGCTCCTTGCAAAATACAGCTGTGACTGCCAGGTGAATGTGGACTATTGACACTGCTGTCCCCAGTATAATTTTGAAAGCCAGGGGAGCTTTTTTACTTAAGCATCTAAGAAGTAAAATACTTGGCCCTTGAGACCAAAGGGATCCAAATCCACATCTCTTGCAGTGCAGGCTGAGGTATGCCAGAGGGGTGGCATCTTGCCTCCTGTTGGAGCCGAGCTGTGAGCAGTGCAAGGGACCCTGCCAGAGAGCTACAGGGAAGGTGCAGCAAAGGGTGTAAGGCTCCTTGGCTGGAAAGGGACTGGCAGGGAAAGAACAGGGCTGTAATCTGAAGACCTGGGGCACTTCAAGAAGGGGTTATAGGATGCTGGGTTCCTTTCACTGGTATCAAAATGTGTTTTCAGTCTGCAATGACTATGGAATGCAAAATAAAGAAACACCTCTCTCCAGACACTAGGCTGTCATATGAGAGGTAGGAATGCCCTCAGACAACGCTGCTTTTAAATAAGACAGAGTGCTGCGTCATAGGCAGCTGTTCTTGAGCTCCACCACCCAGAAATCTCTCAAGTGAATGGCAACAATTTTTGGAGCCCTATAGCTGCTTCTGAGAACTTGAGATCGCACCACATCCTTTCAGGTAATTCTTGGGGTGGGTGATAGTTAGCCTGCATGTTTTAAGGAGCAGTTTACAGTACCTGCTTTTCTCTCCATGTGACATGCAAAAGCATAGAATGATCCTTGGGCTCCCTCCTGGGAGCCTGATGTTTATAGGAAAGATGGGCATTTCAGCAAGGGGGAAAAACAAAAAGAGGACCATCCAAAGGAAGTAACTGAGATGCTCTTTCCAAAAAGAGTATGTGAATAAAGATTATTGTAATTTTTTCAGGGTAATTGTTCTTCCATAGCGTTAGTGTGTATACTTAGTTGATGTTATGGAAAGCTTTGTGTTCGCCAGTCATACCTAGGCAAAAATGATAATAATATCTTCCTACAATGAGGAGCTGAAAGGGGAATGAGTAGTGGGCTTATGTCTGTATAGCAGAGAGAGAGACTGTAGAGGTGCTTTTAACAACCAAGCAAAACAAAGTATCTGATCAGCAGGCAAAAATGAATCAGGTTTAACTAGAACACTT